TTATAAACCAGTTATAAATAACCAGCCCTGTTCCTATGAGAGCAAGTCACAAGAAGGCTTTATGGTTGATATTTTTCTCTGTTATGATGATATAACAACTACTGATGGACTGTATGTGTTTCAGAGTTTGCTGATTTATCACACTTTAATATTTTGGTGTTATTCAAAGCAGTTTGGAGTTTACTGAACTATTCTCAGTGGCTCCGTTTATCTATGAGAGTCCTGAGAGTTTTTTATGGTTATAGCAGGAGCTTTTCATTAAGTGCAGCAAGCAATATTATGACATAATTTTCTGCAGCTTATAAAAGCTAGAGAGCTTCAGACCTTGTTGTTACAAATTCCTACATTATTCCACAATTTTGTTACATTTAATGGGTGAAATTTAAGTGGCTTTGGTCTGAGTAAGAGCTAACTACAAGCAGCTCTGTTTCTCTCTTTCAACCATGACCTTGGAAACAGATTTACATTTCTAAAAAGGACGGCTCCAGGTCCATTCATCCTCACGGTCAAATTAAAGACATATTTGTGTGGATGAGACAAACCTGGCACAGTCTCCCCTGCTGAATGAACATGCATTCAGATAGAAAATCAAATCCAACCATCAAGAATACCTTGAAAGTTTCCCGTAGGAGACAAAAAGTACAAACGTCCGAGGTGAGCTGAAGTCCAGATGATGGCCACCAGCTTTATTCAAAGACTGATAAATAATAAGAGGAGCTTTGTGCTGTAGGCGGTGAGTCACAATGCAGTTTTATGAAGTGGAAGGCCACTCACATTATTTCAAAAATAAGAGAGTACAGCAGCTCGAAAACTAATCTGTGGTCTGGTGCTGTAACGGGGAAATGAGTCAGATTTCTAGAAATGTTACAAGCAGAGAAATACAGATGGTTGGATTTTAATAAAATATGTTGTTTTTAATGAGGTTTAAGGACTGAATATTCTGGTAAGATTCACAACAGACTGAACATAAACAGGTCTGATGTTCACAGTAAGTTAAAAGCACATCTGGTTTTTGAGCGTCTTATTTTTTATGTGTCTTACAGACATCATGGAGGTTATATAACATTGCTGCTTACAATACATACATGCATACAAATGAACCCCAACTAGTGGAGCCTGCTTCGTTTTCATGCAGATGTCACTTTCACACTCAGACATCAGGATTCAACACATAGCTACTTTCATTTAGCATTGTTTGCTAATTCGCCTGATTTTGTTTGTTATTATTAAGCCAAAAATACTCCAACGTGCTGTTTTGTTTGAGCAGAGAGCAGACTGTTGAGTTCATTACATTACACTCAGAGGTGAACATTACCTTTTTACCAGGGCCAAGAATTCAGTCAGTGTGGTGTTTAATTAGTTCTCTTCCTTTGCAGAGCCCATTATAATTAATCAGCCTGTAGTACCCCTGCTGGTTTTCTTCTTCTTTTTTAAACCCTAAATAGGGCATCCAGCTATAATGATTTCTGTCAGATGGTGTGTGTCCTGCTGCATTCAGACATTAACGTAAATGACATGTGCTCCTGTCCTTTGACTCTGGAGAACCTGGAGCTGCATGTGAAGGTCAGTCTCCTGGGACTATAAGAAAACCATATATAAAATATTAATATATAATAAACTTAAATGTTCTTTGTTGCTGTTTCTGTTGAGCTGTCATGGTGGAGGATTTCCTTCAGGACTGCAAATGCACAGGGTCAGTGCAGGTGAGGGAGTGAGTGGGAAGCTCTATTACTTGGCCTTGGTTTAGCCTCATGGATGACATGTTGTTATAGAGATTCCTGTCCTAATTGCCTCCATCCCTGAGGACACTCCAGGTGGAGGAGGGTGAGAGTCAGTCAGCGACAAACATAAGAATAAACAGGGTGAGATTTAAAATCTCCTGAGAGAGGATGTAAGGCTCCAGGAGAGGAGGGAGTGGATGGACAGAAAAATACAATTATTAGATTACCAATCTAATTAGATTATTAGATAACATACATACACAACCTTTTTAAATGTACAATGGTCAGTGTATGCATCCACTGAGAAAAGTGGTCAGGCCACAAGTTAACAAAACAAATGAAAAACCTAAATTTAAACATAAACAATAAACTACATATTTTTATTTTATTTTGAAATGAATCAATCTTACCATTTTTACATAAAAGAATGAAAATAAAATATTTTCTTCTTCCTTTTGTTGAACATTTAAATAACCGCAAAGATGAGTTTTCAGCCCTTTGCATGGTTTATTTTTTCTTCTGTAAATTTAAATTACCTTCACTGTTTATCTATGAATATATCTGAAATAACTGAACATGAAAATGAAAATTAATTCACGTATGTTTGCAGGCTCATTGTGCCTTTTAAATAAACACTTCTTTTATTTATAGCTACACTTCCACAAGGCAGTGAGGTGAGGTCATAGTGCTCCTCAGCTGTTAGCCTCACAGTTTGACATTTATCCATCTTCAGCTGCAGAATCAAAGCAGTGGATTAAAAGCTGCCGTCGGCCTCTTTCTTCATATTCTTATTTATTTATATCCACTGGGAGGTAAGCAATGCATTAATGTTTTTGTTTTTTTATGTGTATGTGTTAGCCCCCGTAGGGAAATTACTCCTCTGCATTTAACCCATTCACCCAGTGGGCAGCCACCAATGCAGCGCCCAGGGAGCAGTGTGTAGGGACGGAAACTTGCTCAGGGGTACCTCAAGGTAGCCGCTCAGTGGAGTCGAACCCCCGACCTTCCAATCATGGGGTAATCACTCTACCTACTGAGCTATCCCTGCCCATTAACCTTTACTTTGAAGCAACTTCTAAGGAATGTTTTCATAATCACCTTTTCAAGAGTTTGGTTGTCCCAAGATCGAGGGTCAATCTCCATTTTTTCTTTTTTAAAGCCAACCTCAGGCTAACCTATTCTGGATACAACTAAAATAATAGAAATGACCATGATGATAAATGCAGAATGGGCCAGAAGAAATACTTTAAGAGAAACTGTTTGTGGTTGGCCATCACTTATTCTTCTGCAGCATCCTGGTTAGTGTGGACGTGAAATTCCCCATTAGATTTATAAGGTGCGCACACCAGTCTGTTTTATTCTTACCACTGTGAATATCATATCAGGGCATTCTGAACCAACTGACTTGTGCAATCTTCAGCACACCAAATTTCTGTATATGAGAAAAGAGTTTACCTCCAGGTGAAGCAGAGAAAGTGATGACAGCTTTTGGAAGAGAGAAGTGTGCATCTGCACAATTCTGTCCGAGGAAACCAGAAATAGCACAGCTCTCAAAAATGTTTCCACTGGAGTGAGGATGGTTAATACCATGCAAAAAAATGCACATATAGTTTACAGTAAGATATGAAATACAGTAACATGTTAAAACCTTCATGTTTCCATTTAGTATTTAGCTTTCCTTAGGTGTGCCATAACTTTTTAAAATTGAAATTCTGAGTATTTTGTGGCTTATTTTGTTTCCGAAAACTAAACAATCAAAATGCAATAAAATAAGCTGATAGTACCATTACTAGTGCTACAGATTCATTTTGACAGCATGTGTTGTGTTTTCTTGGGCCCAGTAGTAACTAAAAGCCTGTAGAGAACTTCCACTTATGTAAATGCCCCCCCCTTCCTTTGCTGATTTTTAAGTAAAGTGACTTTGATGTACGTCAGATGGGTTCTTTTGTTTGTCCACACTTCACCTCAACAACACTTTTATAAAATTGATCTTGCTGAGTTTTTGGTATAATCTAGTGTGGTTCCCCAGCTGCACCAAAGCCGATCAGCAAGCACTCCAGCGGGTGGTGAAAGAAGCTGGCAGAATTATTGGAACAAGTCTGCCAGAGATCAGCAATATCTTCCCCACTCGCTGTCTGAGGAGGGTGCACAGTATCCTGCGGGACCAACATCACCCTGCGCGCCACCTTTTCCATCTGCTGCCCTCAGGGAGAAGGTACAGGTCTATACAGGCCAGAACATCCAGACTGGCCAACAGCCTGTAAGGCTCCTGAACTCTCTGCCCCCCTCTCACGGACAATAACCATATCCAACTTCTTAATAGCAATGAACTGGTCTGCATTGGTGCATCATATCTTTATTCTCTTCCCCCTCCTGCCCCCCCTCTTTCTTAAATAGATAACTATCATATCTGATATCATACCTCACAGTACAATAATATTGAATGGGTTGCATTGTTGCACTCTGTCATGTTTCTCAGGTGTCTGTCTGAATTTCTACGAACATTACGTGTCATGTTCTCATGTTATTGCTAAGGATTGTCTTATTGCATTGGAGTCACACTGGGTTAAATATGTACACTTGGGTTTTAAGGGGTATTTATTATTTTCTTCTTTTTTTTTTTTGGGTTGTATGGAAGCCCCAAACGCAATTTCATTGTTCTTGACAATGACAATAAATAAATACTAAATCTTGCTAACAATAAATAAATAAATAATAATCAAGTAACATTAAATTGCTTATCTGCTAGAAAACTAAATGGAAACAAGCAGCAAGCCCTGCTCCTGCACCTACATCTGTAAACTTCAGCTCCTTAACCAAGTCAGTCAGAGAATATTATTTTCTGTGGTGCCTGGGACATGATTGGTTGCAGATAAATTACTCTCTCTTTATCCACTCGATGTGTTTAAAAGACGAGGCCATTGTTCAGTGAAGGAGATGCTTGGACCTATAAATACAGGGCTGTCACATTATCACTTAACAAGCACATTGTAACCTTTGTGTTTTTGTTTCCACCATGAAAACATGGATGGGGCAGAAGACAGAATACAGCCAGAGGATTTTGTTTTTCCCCCCCAAACGCAGGTGTTGCCTCCTGGTGGCCATTAGAAAGAATGCAGCTTTAGGAATTCACTTTTCAGACCACCAACCATTTCCATCTTCAATGTACAGTCTATCAGCTGGAAATAAGTAACAGGGAATGTCACAGGATAGATTTGACAGGAATCAACTTTGTAATAAGAAAAGTGAAAAAAATTCTCCCCTCATAATGAGTTCAGATTTAATCTTGGACATAAAATGTTTTATTTAAAAGGTTAAAAAAAAAAAGTGTGTGTAGGGCATACATCCATGTGTTAAAACATGAGCAGACATTCATCATTATTCTGCTCGTTTGTAGATAAAAAGCTGTACTGACTCACTCCTCTGGTTGAAGGCTGATGTGCAGCATATTATCTAAAAGCCTGCTTTTCATTAAGGTTTAGAAACTCTTAATCGAGGGCAGGTGCACCTGCAGGCCGAGTCCGAGTGTAAGCAGGTGTAGTAAAAGCATCAGGGGTGGATTTCCTCACAGTGGTCTCGTGGCATTTACAGGAAACAGTCCAATAATTCCTTTCAGCTTCCCTTTCCACCAAAAAGGATGAGACATATCCAGCACCTCAATGACGTCTCCTGCGTTGAAACCAAGCTCGTCGTCTTGTATAGCAGGGAAGTCGCACATCGCCATCACTTGAAAACAAGACGTAGTCTGTGGGAGGAAAAACAAACACTGATCAATACCCGACAGACAACTTCTTGATGAGGCTTGCACAGTTTAGGCTGGATGAGGTCATCCCGATCAGCCCTCCTGTGCTGCATCTACACTTCGATGGTGTTCCACATGTTTAAAGTTGTAATGTTTGCTGGTGTGATCACCTTATCAAAAATATCTAATTAATCAAAAGGCAAGCTAACAGAGTTTGAAAGTGCACGGACTCTCTCGTCCTATCAGGTTAATTCCATAAAGTGAATTGACTTGACAGCTGCAACGCTGGAATATTTGAATAAGCGAGATGTGATATGCTGGCACCATTTTAACTTTTCACTGCGCAAACAAAACAACCAACATGTGACACCACCCTGTTAAGTGAAAGGAGTGAGAGAGATGCCTGAAACTTGTATCTGTGAGTCTTCCCTCAGTTACTGGCTGGTTGGTCACATTAGACGGTGGTCCCTCCCTGAACGTGCATTTGCTGGATGTCACTTCCTATCTAAAGGGAATTCTTCCATCCTGCAAGTGCTCCTCATAGGGTATCGACTGGTCTTTACCTTAAAATGTAAAGCACCTTGAGACAACTGATGTTCTTGGACTATTTAATTGAAACTGACTGAAGCAGCATGCCTCGTAACTTGCTTGTTGTCATAAACTGCTCTTTAAATCTGAGGTTTTCAATAAAAGCAATCATGTCTCACTGGCTGATCATCGGAGGGGCCGCCTTGGTCCAGGCTCCCATTGACGTTGAGGTAGATTATCCTGCTTTTGGAGATTGAGTTGGTTTTGTAGAAGTCCACCAGTTTGTTCAGAGAGGTGAATTTTTCGCTCCACAGGAAGTAATGACCTCTCTTGTCCCTCAGCAATCTGTAATGCATCATGCCCTGCTCATACCTGAGAACAGATTTAAGAGTCAGAATAACTTTATTATAAATCACTCACACCAAGTTTATTATACTTAACGTTATTTCAAACCTAGTTTCAGTTAAGTAACAGAAACGCGAATAAAAATGATGCTAGTAAAATGCTAAGAGGAAAAGAACACAGGGAATGGCTCATTGGGGCTTGGGCGAATGGTTGACATTTGACTACATAAACCTCTTTAGAACAACTGAAACAAACAAATGTCTTTGAACTGAAAATAAAAAATTGAGAATTTATGAACTTTAAGTCTGTCTCACAACATTAAAAACACATTTCAAAATTATACATCCTTATTAGAAAGTTCTGGCTGGACACTGAATGGAAGTAGTTAAAGTCAATTTTTGTGTGTGCAGACTGCAACAGACGTGAGATTTTTGCCAGTTTATCAAAGTTAATCACCATATTATATGAACCAGATTGCACACAACGGCCAATTTGACCCCATTCAATTGCAGACTAATAGCAGACTGACTCAGTTTTATTTCCATTTTAACACCGTCTTGATGTATCAGAAATGAATTTGAAGATGGAAACTGCGAGTGGCAGTTCATAGCAAACAGAATCATTTTCTTTTTTACCACCATTTTCCCCAGTGTGACCTTATAAACGCCTTATGAACTGTATTTATTTCTCCCTTTTAAGGCAATAAAAAGGTCTAAATGATCAGGTACAATGTAATGTGTGTAATACTTAGTTGGGAGACACACTTGACTCACTTGACAGAAATGCAGAAGTTTCCGGGGCTGGTCCGACACCCTCGGATCACAAACTCTCCCACGTGTTTGTTCATCAGGAATTCCACTGCATCTCCACGAGTGGCATCCTCCCGAAACCATCTGCAGAAACAGGTCCTGTGCTCATGACTATCTGATGCAAACATGCATCAAACATGCAAGTACACACACCTACCAGCCAGTGTTGTAAAAGCAAAACTATCCTGCCTTTGGGCCTTTCCTGTACGATTTTAACATCTAAATTTGGGCTTTTTAAGACCTTAAATGAACTTCTAAGCTCAAAAGTGTGAAAATGTTGAGACTTTTCAGGTACATTCGTGTTACTGAAGGAAAATGTGCAGCTGACTTTAGGGCATCATCTTCATTCCTGCTTTGTAGTCATTTTAAATGGTTTGCACACAGAATGAAAAGGATTTCTGCTTTTGCAGCGGATTATTGTTCATCTGTTTCTTACCTTGGAAAATGAATGTCAAGGAAGTTACGTGGCACAAGCCCCTCCTGTCCATTCATCTCTGCTTTACACCAGATGTTGTCATAACGTATAATCTGTCCAGATGCGAAAAGATAAAACTTCATACAGGAGTATCAGATTTCTTACTTATATTGGACTGCATCACATTTTAACCTCCCATCCATCAACCCACATATTGAGACAACATCCCAGACAGTTTTTAAATTTAACACAGTCGGACATCTGTGGGAGTGACGTCCGATTGCTGTGATGAAAGCAGGGAAAGCGGTTATTATTATCGGTTGCAATAAAGGGGAAATTGTGAGTCACAAGCTAAGCAGAACAGAACATGATGAAAAATAACACAGGAAAAGAAACAAAACCACAGTTTAAACTGAGAAGCTGGGACAGACTGGAGGTAACCTGTAGAAATGAAAGTCACCTGAACTCTTTATTGGCCAGCAGGTGGCGATTGCCATGGTTTCAAACATGCAACATACATCGACTGTATATAAAAGATGGGAGGAATGCCGAGTTAGAATTTAATGCCTCTTTTCCACTAGCACCTACTCACCTCAACTTGGCGTTTGGTCATTTTCCATTACAGTTAAATTACCACCTCTGTGTTGGTGGTGTTGTTATAGCAACCCGGCCCAAAATTCCCATGACATCATGTGACACGAACAACATAGTAACTGAGGGAATGCGTACCATGTGATGGTGTACCTGTTGATTGTGTGCAGCCATTTTCATTGCCGGGTTTCAAAAGTATGGATGGATATCAGGATGGATGGATGGGGTTTCAAAAGTCGTGAATGAGGCGCTCTCATGGCTAATCCAGTGATGTCACTCTCTGACCAATCAGTGGCATGCAGTTTGCTGACAGCACATTTTCAGCTCAACTCACCTCACTTGGAACCCTGGCTGAGTAGGTATTTTATTAATAAATTAAAAAAAAAAAAAAAAAGGAATACTACCAGCTGATGGAAACCCCTAAAAAACGAGTCGTACATAGGGGAGACCGGGGATAGTTGTAACATTTTTGACATTTCTGTCTGTAAATTGGAGCTCTTTTAAGGTAGTGGATTCAAAATGTAATGCAAAGTATTTACATGTCTCTGCTATTAAATAGTGCAGCTATTTTCTCTGCAGCACAATTACCCATTGCATGGTATGGCCTCAAACACGAAGAGTGAAATGTTACAATTAACCCCATAGTCTGGGTTAGTTGTAACATCCCGGGGTGAAATGTAACACAATGAAATAAGGGTACTAACAAAATATTAACATGTAATCTTTGTTTATTCAACACATGAATGCACTTACATCCATTTATGTAGCTGTGTGTGTGTGTGTGTGTGTGACAGAATGCAGAAATGTAACTTTTGAACATATTCCAACCCCCCAAAAAAGAAAAATTATGGAATTTTCTGAAACTAAATATTTCATTAATTTTGGTTGGTCTTCCTTGAGTTTGGCCTCATTGGCTCAGTGGGCATTATAACCGACAACTCTTGCACCAATTTTGAACATAACAATGAAGCTGAAAAAATGTAGTTGTTCACCAGCATCGCAATTCCATTACTTTTTATCATGGCTTACCTTGGTGTGGTTTGCAGAGTGCTTCAGAAAGATGAGGAAATCGGTTTCTTGCACCCATCCTGATTTATTTCCACTACCAGTACTTCCTACTGGTCCATCTCTGACACAGTGGTCTGCATAATGTATGTGTGGGAACACAAACAGTGGAGGAATTGTGTTGCCAATGGCATTAACCACATATACAAATGTGACCAGTGAACCTCTCTCTGCTGATGTCGTTGCCCCAACTTGTTTAAAGTAATAGTGTGGTAAGTTTTAACATCTGCATTATTGTTACAACTGACCCAGACTGTTGCTGTTACAACTGACCCAGACTCCTATAGCCATGAACTAGCTAACATTACAGCCAACGCCTAAAACATTAGCACTAAAGACCTACACAGAATATATCCCCATAGACATACAAATAACACAATTTAAGTTTGATGAGTTTAACTGCAAAGCAAATAATGCTATTACAAATTGAAATAAAGTAGAAAAACTTACTTTTTGGCACACAAATTACTTTTTTTCGTGTTAAATTGTCTGTGTTTGACAAAATGTGCTGATTTTTCACATGTGATAGCAGAACTGAGTTGGGCATGCACAGGATGAGTCACATCATTTGAAACTTAGCCCTGATTGGAGAAATTGGAAGTGTTACAACTGACCCACGTTACAACTATCCCCGGTCTCCCCTACTGACCAGTGGTTGTTCTTCGTCACTGGGTGGAATTGGTCACAAAGAGGTATAGAGCTCTTCACTGAGTTGCTTTGGTTGTTGTAGTAACCCACAGGTTGGCACCTCGATTGCAACTTACCTACAAATACTCACCAACTACTCATGAAGCAGCTGTGAAACTGAAGAGTGCCACACAAACTGGTAAAGGAGAGAGTTTGCCTTCAAAGTAAAAGCTGCGCCTGTTAAATGGGTTGCTTGTAGTGCTGAGGCACAACCTTTACTATGAAGACAAGCACAACAGCACTAATGAAAACTGTGTACAGCTGAGTAAAGTTACGCACTGACCTTGACTATGTCGCCCTGTTTGAAGCCCAGCTCATCATCTGTTACTGCATTAAAGTCAAACTTTCCTTTGGCTTCCATTGGGAGGGGCTCAAGCGTCTGAAAGGTTTAGAAGACTGCGAACAGAACAAGCGGCTCAATCAGAGAAAGGTCTCCAGTAAACAGTCCTCGATAAAAGTCTCAACCCAGCTGCATTTCTTTATATTGTCTTCAAAGCACTCAGACTTTCTTATAACTTTTAAAGCGGTCTTGAGCAATAGGTTCTTCAGGCTTTCTGAAGGTTTTTCAAAATTTGTCTTTTGACATTGGCTGCTTTTACACTCACTTCCAGTCTTTTCTTTTACCAGTTTCAAAGGAAAGTTTTGTTTGCTAAGCCACTTAATGCTAACCCTATGAATCATTCAAGTATAAAAAGCCTCCTAACTCAAGAGGTTAGCCAGTGTTGTGTCTACAACTAACAGAAAACCTAGCAAGGAACCAATTTTAAATTACATCTTCAGGAACTTTGTTACCAGCCACCCGTCTGAAAAGCACAATTTGTTCCCATTTCTTTTGCTGATCTATTAACACAGTTTGACAGGCATAAAATAATATTTTCACACACATCCCCCAACCGGTTGAGGCAGATCGCTGCTCTTCCATGAGCCTGGCTCTGCCAGAGGTTTCTTCCCGTTTTAATTTCTCATTGCCACATAGTGCTTAGAGTCATTTAATTGTTGGCTTTTGTCTCTCAATTCTTTGAATTGAACAAGCGATTCCTAAAAGCATATCTCAGCATTGTGTGCAGTGTGGCCACTTTGATCCACTTTATAATACCAGCTGGGATCAGCATGACAGTGATCCCAAACACACCACCAATGTGGTAAAAGCACACTCTGATAGAGGAACACAAACTCAGTCATGGATCGGCCTCCACAGACGTCAACATCATTGACAGAGACCAGAAGAAAAGGCAGAAACACCCAAAGAAGAGCTTTGAATGTCCTTCAAGAAGCCCGGAGAACTACACATGAAAAAGAAATTACCAGAAGGCGGCCCAACAGAGTTCAGGCCGTGCTGAAGAACAATGGTGGTCAAACCAAATATTGACTTCCAAACTCATTAAAATGTATAAACCGGTTTTGTTTTATATACTGTATGTTCACATATGTTTCCACCCATTTCCCATCAATCCATGTCTGGGAGACCTGCTGTAAATAATTAAGATATTTGAATGGAAAAATGTAAATGAACATCACTGATTAGAGGATGGCATGGTGGTCAGCACAAGGTAGACAAGTTTGTTATTAGAGGAAAATCTCCAATGAAAACCTCAAAAAACAAACAAATTTAAAAAACATATTTAAATTCAGTAATTTGCAGAGTTGTAAAATGCTCTTCATACTCCTGCGTCAATCGCTGCACGTCTTAAACTTTTCCAGCTGTTGCTGCTTTTTCATTAAGGTTTAGAGGTTAAATGGGGGCTAAATATTTGTAGATTAAACCATTAACCCAAACCAGTGGGCAGATTGATTTGAACCCAAGAACATGAGTGGACAAACTTAGTTGGGAGCTTAAAATAGAGGTGACAGAAAAATACCATAGCGCAAACAGTCCACATGAAGAATCAGTTAAACAAACAAAAGTCACTGACTGTCATGGCGGCAGCCACACATGGTCACCTACCTGCACAGGTTTATTTCATTTGCAGCTACTCAAAGTCAAACTTTTACCATCATGCTTTTAACCTGTTTAGATGACGCACACGCTTTCAGCCTGCAGGGTTACACAGAAATTATTACATTCTTTGTTTCTGTGAGTTACCAGTGATCTGTGAGGTCATGGTAGGGATAAAGACCTTTGCAGGTGGCATGAAAGGGCGTGGCTGCTTCTTCTTCTCCTCCTCCTCTTCCTTTTGGCAGTTAGGTGTATTACTACCACCTGCTTGTGGGGAGTGCGGGTGCAAGGATGAGGTACCTGTAGTATATGTATAAGGAAGGCTTCAGGATCAGTTAAGTAGGTTTCTTATGTTTGTTTGGTAACATTGTGTTTCATATAACTGAACCACATCCCCCTTTTATTCATTTACTTCATTTTTTGTTTGCTTTTCATTTTTAGCTGCTGTAATGAAAGAATTTCACAACCTTCAGATGAAAAAAAGGATATTTTTTGTTCATTGTTCATTGAACATCAGGCTGTAAACCCACATCTGACCTCTGAAGATGCTGCTGTGATAAAATTATGCTTCGTATTACATTATGGACAATTTCATAGCAAAAAACAAAAAAAGTCATAAATAACATCTGTCTATTGTAAAGTGACTATTTGGACTATTCACCCACAGCCCAAGTCTCACAGCTCAGCAGCCTCAGACTGAATTTAGATGCTTTTTCTGAAGCTTCTGTTTAAATAATGTTGAAAGGACCCGAATGAAGAAAAACAGGAAGTACAGAGCAGTGTAAGTTTTGTTGACCAATCATTTTTGTTAAAACAAATTTTTGTTTTTTGCTGACGAAAACAAGAAGATAACTAAAAAAATGTTCTGACACTTCAGTCAGCAAATAAGAATGAGATGAAAATATTTTGTAGGGTGAGATCCAATTAGAGCTAATTAAGTGGTATAGAAAGGCGATTTGGAAGTAATCCAATCAGGAGTAAGCTCCTTGTGCAGTAAGGTTAGAAACTGTATAACTAGCTTCCTGTTTCTCATAAATAGACACGTGGACATATTTTGCATTTAATGTTGTGCAAGATTTTTTCAGGGGAAGCCTCCCAAGTACAGACGTATACACAAATACCTTTAGATGTAGTTGACGAAATCTAAAAGCATTTCGATGTCTAGATGATTGAAACTAAATAATAAATGGCCTGTATTTGTATAGTGCTTTACTACTCCCCAAGGACCCCAAAGCGCTTTACACACTCAGTCATCCACCCACTCACACATTGGTGATGGCAGCTACATTGCAGCCACAGCCACCCTGGGGCGCACTGACAGAGGCGAGGCTGCCGGACACTGGCGCCACCGGGCCCTCTGACCACCACCAGGAGGCAACAGGTGAAGCGTCTTGCCCAAGGACACAACGACCGAGACTGTCCAAGCTGGGGCTCGAACCGGCAACCTTCCGATTACAAGGCAAACTCCCAGCTGTTGAGCCACGATCGCCACCATGAAACTAAATGTTGTTTGAGTGAAAGACTGAAATCGAAACTGTTTAATTCAACATTAGTTTAGAAGCTCCAGTCAAATCTGAGAAAACTTCAGTTTTACAACTTCAACCCAAAATAACTGAACTGCTTTTGTTCCTCCCCTACTCTGCTTACTCACTTGTAGAATATTACAGTTTCAGATTTCCTTTTTAGTAGCACATTGACCTAACGTCTAAGTGTTTTAGACTCCTTTAGAGGAAAAGATAACCCGAGTGTTGCAAATGGCACTGACAGGCAAACTTCTTGGAAGCAACTACCAAAGCATTACTTTTAGGTTTAGACTGTCACGACAGCTCACCAAGAACGCAAAACTACACTAGTGGTGGGGCTGCACATTAGCCTTACATATGTGCACTCAGCTTGGACTTCCAGCCTCATTGTGTACAGTGGAAATTTATGCACTCATGCACCATATTAAAACCCTTTTGAGTTGCAGCTTGAGGCAGTTTAGTTTGCCAAGTTCACTACAACTATCTGTTTAAAGTGAATGCAGTTCTCCATCATTGAAGGTTCTCAGAGAGCCCAAGATCCCCCTATTAAAGAAGAGCAGCAGAAATCTGACAAAGCAAACACTGGTGGGAGGAGACCAGTTAAGTAGGTTTAAGTTTCAACAGGTAACAGACCGAACTCTGACATGTAATTGAGCCACAAGTTGAGCTGGACTGATTTGCGATCTTTGTTTTAGAATCAGCCACCTTAGTAAACTCCAGGACTCAAGCAGATTAGTGGTGTAAAATTATTTATTAGTCAAAACATAGACAGTCCATTCCATCAGCAACATGGCCACAAATGATTCCACAAGCTTTGAGACAGGTCTGGCATTTCTAGCATGGTCTCTTTCTGGAGCCATCAAAGCAGTTTTAAAGCCGCTGGTATCTCAGTTACATACAAAGTGTCTTGTAGCAGCAGAGTAACAAACCAACCATGGAGGAATCTGGAGTTCCTCATGCCAGCCGAGGAGGGGTGTGGAGAGCCAAATCCTAAGGATCTGGTTAAGTGCCTAAATCCTAACCAAAGAGGAATAAGAGCCTAATCCTAATCAAAGAGGACTCGGTAAGTGCCTTTGTTCAATAAAGGAAGAGTCTAGACCAACTCAACCTAGAGCGATATGTAGTGCTAAAAAAATACAATTTCCTAACCAAAGAGGAATAAGAGCCTAATCCTAACCTAAGAGGACTCGGTAAGTGCCTGAAACCAACCACAGAGTAGTTGGAGAGTATTAAGTGCTAAACGTAGAGCTCCAAACCTCGTCTCCTGGCTGAGGAAGGTACCTCAAGTTACCGATACCAGAAAAACCTTGTATGTAACACGCGATCATCTGATAGAACGCCATGACGGCACCCTGAATGATAACATGCGGTTCCTGTGTGGGAGGCTCAGGAAGCGTCCATCTCTGCTCCTTTGTAGATAGAAGCTGCACTGACCCAGTTGCCTGGGGAAGTCTGAAATGCAGTGCAGACAATAGCCATTTGAGAGCCAGTGGACCTGGAGTTGTATGCGCAGGTCTTGTGAAAGCATCACCGGGGCTTTGTCCTGCTTTAAGCCACCTTGATGTGCTAGTCCATCGCCTGCACCATGGACGCCATCTGTGGGAAGAAACAAGTGTGATGTATCAAACCAGGATCTGTTAAACCATTGAGGCTTCAGTTTTTAAACTCACTTGACAAATGCAGAAGTTTCCAGTGAAGTTCCAGCATCCTCAGAGCAAACTCTCCCATGTTTGGTCTTCAGGAGCTCCTCTGCAGCGCTGCAACTGCTGTTCTGTGAACCACCTGAACACATAATCACAAGCCTCAGCCTTTAACAAACCAGTTTACAGCCAGTACATTTCTACTTGATAATCAGCATTTAGCCTCTTACGCTGGAGTTGGCATTTCACTGTAGTAGAAATCTTTCTCGTCTCTTCGTCCATTTTACACCAACCGTCTTCAGGGCTTGGAGTCTGCAGAGAAGCACAAAGAGTCAGAGATATAACAGCAGCGAGTCCCCAATTTATACACTGATATTCAGTGCCTCACCCTTTTTGAAGCTGAGCTCATCATTTACAGTGTAAAACCATGTCCCCCTCTGATTTTATCTGCGAGCCAATCAAGCATCAGAAAGGTTAAAGACGGCGACGAGAAGAGGTGCCATCAGGGAGGGAATCCTCCATGAAGTGCTTCACCTGCAGGGATAAAAGAGTCAGATATGACTGTTCATAACTTAGCCAGAAAACTATATTTTACAGGTATAGCCACACATGCCCACGAGAACAGATTAGGCCCAACACGTCATCTACCCACACAGACGCACTTCATTTGCAATCAGACACTTAAGCAGTTAGAAAATTTGACTTTTAGTGAGCCCACCTCCCAAAAACTACATTTACAGAGTCAAACAAACAACTCAATTTTTTTAAAACTTACCACCACGTTTGCAGAAGTGGCTGGAGGGGCAGACTCTCCCAAATGACACAAAGGGAACACCTGTGAGCTGCCTGAGACCCCTTAAATCCTGAAGCCACCTTATTGGGTCAAACCATGTGCTGCATGTCATGGGGGTGATTTGGGGTTTGGTTGGCGTCATTGTCTATTTAGTCATGAGCTTTATTTTAGTGTATTTGCCACTTGTGTGTTACTTGGTCTAGCCAAACAATTATAAAGCAGGTGTGCTGATTACAAACACGACCTTTTCCATACCAGCTGGTGGCGCTAATGCACCATTTTGTTATTTGCCAGTCGCCAACAAAAATAATTTCTTACGTCCACTTTGTAAACTTATAAATATCGATGTAAAGTATTATAAAATTACCTCACAAGAGCAGATATCCCACTTTTGATATATTTTTCCTACAATTTAACCAGTGAAGTGGATAGGAGAAAAAAAAAAAGAAACCAGTCATTTACTGAGCATTGCTCCAGATAGCAAGGGGCGTTTGATCCAAACTGGACCCAAATCTGCAGTTTTCTATGGGTCTCATAGTGTTGACTGACATCATGTACTCAGGATGAGTCTGCCTTCCTCAGCACAGGTGCATAAATCACACTGACAATGTGAAAAACTCACAAAAACTCACAAATCAAATATGATACAGGGTTATGAGCAGTAAGCATATATCTGATGGTTTTGGAAATGTTTGGGTAGAGAATGGGACGTATGACCTGTACTTCTATTTCGAATCACTTCTACATATCCAAATCTGGCTGTTTAGTAAAAGCTGCTCTCAGTGACCAGTCTGCAGCCTTTTTTGTCCTTTTTGGTTAACTCAGTGTGCCGAGTGCTGTTTTCTGGCACCAAACTAGAGGATTTTGTGTTATTTAAGGTGAAACTCTGCACACGTCGCCCTCTCTGTGCCACGTCAGCCTGCCATCATGTGCGTTTGCCAAGGCCAGCTTTGATATTTTCCTCCAGTGAAGTTCAGCAGAAACAGAAACTTAGATGTTTATTAATTTATCTGCTTGATTAGTGGACTGATCACCGCTCTGCGGGAGCTGCTGCACTTCAAGCCTCAGTAAACAAACAGCTAATCCATCTCTGTAAGTGAAATTTAGTTATACTGAATTTGTGAGGCAAGAAAAATACTGCCATTAGTCTCACTGTCAGGAATAATTCAGCCTTTTATTGTGGTCCTGCTGCTCAGCTGCTGCTGGCACTAATTCATGCCCGAGCATAATGGACTCATGAAATACACCGGATGCTTCCAGAGACAGCAAACAACAGGAACGCATTTCCATCAATTTA